CATCCTATAGCAACCTGAGCACAGAGTACCATAGGGCAGTGAGCAACTTCTTGCATAGATGATAGATCACCATGCTGTATTCAGCCTAGCCTAGCCCATGAGATAAATATTTTACTGGTTGATTTCATAGTCCACTAAAAGAGTTCTATTTTCACACCATTAGGCTACAGATGAAAACATTGGGTGAGAAACTATATTACTGAGCTCCACTAACCTAAATGGCTATGCCTTTGGCAAGCATCAAAATCATTAACTGCAACCACATGATTATGAATTATTACATCTCTTTCATTGCATACACATATTGGTTAGCCCAGAGAATTTCAACTGCCTTTCTGTATTCATAATATGTGAAATTTGGGTGTTTAGGGGCTATAGATCACAAGAAGAAAAAGTCAACTAATAAGAAAAGAATAGATTGTCTTTTAATGCTGTCTCCCAGGATTGTTGATTTTCATGTGGGTGGATGATGGAATTGGGGATGAATTATTGAGAAATGCACTTCCTACTGTACTTTTTTCTTTCACCCAACTTGTACAACCATTTTTTTCATACAGCTAGGGTGTGTCTAGACTACAGGGTTTTTTCGAAAAAAGTGGCACAGCATGGTGGCCATTTTTATTTTAATGAAGCGGGGATTACTATGTTGAGTAAACTATTTTACATGGCTCCATTGACAGAGCCATGTAGTCTAGACGTACCCTAAGGGTAACTCACAGCAACTAGACACAGATGTCCTGGTTTAAGGTATTTCCTTTCACCCATATGGACTGCTTAAAATGTGTGCATGTGTTGGTGGTGCACATAAGAAATTTCAACCCGCCCAAAAGAAAACTCATCCTACCCAAGGATAGAAACTGTTAGAGGAAACACTGGTGACTGGACATCCCATTTTTTAAGGGACAGTTCTTTTATTAAGCCCTCCTGCAGGCATCCTGACTTTTTCTTAAAAACGGATGAATTGTCCCATATTTTCTGTCCCCTCAGTATTGGTGGATCCTGCTACTGGCCAGATCCTTGCTCACCAACTGATTGCCTTTCAATGCTGAGCAGGAGGGTCCAGTGACCAATGATGAAGGTAGATGTGCAAGGCTGTTGGCAGGGACTGCTCCCCATCAGCTCAGCTCCATCCCATTTCCATCTGGCATTGGTGCAAACACACTATCAGGGCACATCCTGCTCCTAGTGTTGTGCCTAGAATCAGCCCCTGGCAGGAGCATTCAGCTCAGCAAAAAGTCTGGATGGCAGGATCTTTCCTTCCCCCACTACCTATGGCTGGGCTGGTTCCCTTAGAAAGAAGAAGACCCTCCAGCCTAGAGTGCTGACCAGGCAGAGCCAAGCCCTGCATGTGTCAAAGCTCTGGGCAGCACTGGTATGGGGAAGCCTCTCTGCCCTTCAGCTAAGCTCTGGTGAGGTGGAAGCACAGTTCCAGTCTGTTCACACCCTGACCATGCAGCCTCCATAGTCCACTAAACAGAAGCTTACCACCCTTTTCACACACACACACACACACACACACACACACACACACACACACACACACACACACGTCCTGCCCCCCAAGGAGTTAGGCCCCAGCCCAATTTTGGTCACCAGTTTCTTAAAAGGATGTGGAGAAATTGGAAAAGATCCAGCAGCAAGTGACAAAGATGTCCAAAGACTGGAATGCCAGAATATGAGCAAAGGCTGATAGATCTAGTATGTTTAGTTTCAAAAAGTTAGGGGAGGATGTGATAAGTCTTTAGATACTTGAAAGGCTGCTATGAAAAATTAGAGACAAGTTTTCCTATCTTGCCACAGCAGGCAGGACAAGAGGCAATGGTTTTGAACTACAGAATAGAAGATTTAGATTAATTCTCAAGAAAAAAACTTCTTAACTGTAAGACTGGGTGGACAACAAAACTAACAGGGAGGTTGTCTTAGCTCCTTTACTTTTTCTCTGATGAAAATAAGTTGTCCGTGTCTCCTCACCATACAGAAGAGTGCTGAGGATGTAAGCTTAGTGCACTAGCATTTTGGTCTTGAGGGTAAGCTTTGAGTTGTTCCATGCTCTTTTAGTTGGGTAAAGGTTGTAGCAGCCTTTCCAATGTGAACATTTAGTTCCTCATCCAGTGAGAGGCTGGTGGTCACTGTAGAACCTAAATAGCTGAATTGCTGGTTTACATTTAAGGAAATTGGAGGATCTTTTGGGAACCCCTGTCCCAATACAACTCTTTGCTTGATACTGATGGTGAGAGCAAATGACTGACAGGCACTTGAAAGGCAGTGTGTGAGTTCTTACGGTAGATCTTCAGTGAGGGACTTGAGGGCAACATCATCAATGAATAGAAGTTCCCTGATTAGCACCTCTTTGACGCTGGTCTTTCACTTAAGTCAGGAAAGGTTGAAGAATTTCCCATCTGATCTTGGGTGGAGAGACACTCCACCTTTCATGTCCTTAGATGAACAGTTCAAAAATACTGAGAAGATTCCAAAGTGTGTGGGGGCAAGAACACATCCATGCTTAATTCTGCTTTTCATCTCATGTCAGCTTGAACTGAACCCGTCAATTTAGATAGTAGCTCTCATATTATTATGGAATGAAGATATAAGATATAACAAGGTTTGTAGGCATCTTGTCTTCTCTAGTATTGCAAATAGATGTGCTTTGCTGACTGTATAGAATGCTTTGTTTAGGTCCACAGAGGTGATGTACAATGATTGGTTTAGCTCTCTGCATTTTTTTCTTAGAGTTGTCACAGAGAAAACATCATGTCTCTAATGGATCCTCAGCCCTGAAAACCTGTACTGTGATTCAGTGCAGACAGATTCACCAGATGCTTTAGTTGGACTCAAGTGACTTTTGCAAAGGCTTTCCCTGCCACACTTAATAGTGAGGGTATGTCTACACTACCCCGCTAGTTCGAACTAGCGGGGTAATGTATGCATACCGCACTTGCTAATGAAGCCCGGGATTTGAATTTCCCGGGCTTCATTAGCATAAGGGGCTCCGGGCTTGCCTGGATCCAGCCCCCCCTGGTCGGAGATCCCCCCCCATACCATTGGGGAGCCTGAGTTAGTGCTCCAGCCCCACCCTGCCCTCTGCGGCTGGAGCACACAAAATCTACTAGCCTGCCCCTTACCCCCAGGCTCTGGTGTGTGAGAGGAATGTGGGGACTGGGGGAGTGTCTGGCTCCTCAGTCAGGGGAGCACATCAGTAAAGCTTTGAGGGTTTTTTTTGTTTTTGTTTTTGTTTTGCTTCTCACGTCTCACTTGTGTGTGACCCCTAACTTGTTTTTCTGTGGGGGTATGTCTACACTACCCCGCTAGTTCGAACTAGCGGGGTAGTGTAGACATACCCTGAGATACCCTTGTAGTTGCCCTTTTTGTCTTTATTTTTATACATAGTGATGATGTGTGTGTCACACATCTTTTGTAGCCCTGCACCCTCTTGCCAGCATTGAAGTAGCAGCTGATGAAGGTATGGTAATGGGCTGTCTTTCCAGAGCTTAAGGATTTCTGTTGGAATGCCATCTTTTCCAGGAGTCTTTCCACTTAATAGAAAATCAATGGTCTTGCCTAGGTCTTCTATAGTGGGCTTCATGTCTATCTCTAGCACAACCTATAGAGTTGGTATTTGGACCAAAAATTCACTAGTCTCTTTCTTATGCATATAGCTCTGAATAGTGTTCAACCTAATGAGACAACTGCTTACTTTTATCTGTAATGATTTCGTTGCCAATGACAGTGTTGTTGACAGTGGGACCTAGAGTTTTCTTTGGACTGTAATGCACAACTTGTGAGTTTTCCTGTGTCTGAGGCTGTCTGGATCTCTTCACAGAGCTTGTTCAACGAAGGATTTGCACAGTGGTTTTTGTATCTTGTTTTTGCATGTTGAAGTCTCTTTTTGATGCTCTCTGTTGGCTTCTTGTTGTGTTTCAGATAGGTTTTGTTTTTTAGTACTGATGAGAGATAACAGTTTCACTCCATTTTCTTCATACCAGTCCTTTCTTGACAGTCTCTTTCCCAAATTGTTGCTAAACGTGTTTTGTGGATTGTTGTTCTTTAATCTTCCCAAAATTACTCTGCCTTCTCTGGTAATGACTTCATGCATGCTAAGTTCAAAAGTCTTCACAAACTCCTGGCATTTCTTCTGTTTTTTACATTAATAGCATTGATTTTAAGTTTGCTCCTAAGGTTTTGTTCTATGCAGTTTCTTGGCTATAATTTTTACATTGCTAATAATCAATGAGTGGTGAATGTCATGATCAGCACTGTGTGTGGTGGGGTGAGAGAGAGGGGGCATTTGAATGTTCTGCAGTAAACGTAGGTCTTTCCTCCTGATGATAACAGGTGCCAGTGGCTTGCACTTGGTTGTTGCCATAAAACTTTGTAGTGATCTTTTCCTGTAAAATATGAATTGATAATGCACATTTGGTTGTTGCTGTTCTCATAAATGTTGGCAATGCCAAAATGTCCTAGTCAATCTGTCCATGACTTATTGTATGTGCCAATATTTACATTGAAGTCATTAAAGGAGGAAAAATTGCTCAGTTGATGGTATTCTTTTATGACTTGATACAAAGAGTTGTAAAATATACCCTTCTCCTTGGGACTAGTTTGGAGTATTGGTGCATAAGTACTAATAATGTTCACAGAGCTGATGATTGTATGAAGCTTAAGTGAGATGGTATGCTCTGATTTCCCAAAGTGTGTTTCTAGGAGCTTCATTCATTTGTTTTTCGCTGCAAAGCTGACACCATGCAGATGTTTTTCTTTGTTGCTTGTACCTTGCCAAAAGAAGGTGTAATTGGTCACTTGGACTGAACGAGCATCTGCAAGTCTCATTTCCTGAAGTTCTGTAATGTCAACATAGAGTTTGTACAGCTGATAGTCTATTGAAGATGATTTCTGTATGCTGTTTATGCATTGTAGGCCATCATTGTCTGTCAATCCTGGACACATGGTCCTGACATTCTAGCTTCCAAGCTGAAATGACCTTGATTTCTTATTTTTGCTAGGTGCAACATTTCTGCATTCCTTTCAACTGTTGCTCAAGGTCCATGCACCCTATGAGATGGACAGATCATGGAGGGTCAGCACCTAACTGTTCAGGGGCTACTCAGGTTTGTAGTAGATGGTTACTGGCCAATGGAATGCAGTGATTCCTCCTAAGGTCAAAAGTGATCTGTGGCTCCCTTTTCTATACCAATGAAGTTAGAGCTTATTAACCATATTTGCATTTTAAAAACCACCCACAGTAGTGTTCTCTTCTGCTATATCTATATTGTGTAATCTACATTATGTATTCATGAGTCCTTGCCTACTGGTATCTCTTATGTTAGGTCTGGAGCTTTGGATGCTTCTATGAATTATGTGGAGCTAGCAGTATGTTAATACATTTGTCTGGGTGTTTTCCCGAAGCTAAGGATTCTTTGATGCTTGGTGTGCATTTACAAGTATTGTTGGCTTTTTAAAATACTGCTATGCATTCTGTAACATTTGTTGTGAACTAATAATGATCATTTGATCCTCCAAAAATATAACTTTACTGAGAGAAAAAAAACACTGCAGAAAATTAAAGTACCAAACTGACATGTAATGTTATACAAATCTAATGGGGCACAGGAGGATCTAAAATTAAAAGAATGTAAACTTTTATGTCCAATTTTGTAAACAGATGTGTTGTGGCTACACAAACACTAATCCCGACTCTCACAGATGAGAAGATGTGGTTTTCTTTGCTTTCCTCAGTGTGCAGTGGTAGGTGGAAGTATGCAGTCTGTGATTTCACACAGTATGCTGGGGAGTGGAGAGATTTAGGAAACACCAACCATGGAGTCCTGCAAAGGGACTTTTGGATGTGTGGGTCAGCTAAAGTCTGCAGCATTTGGGTTTGCTGCCTGAAAAGACACATTGGGTGCGTCCAGACTGGCAAGATTTTGCGCAAAAGCACATGCTTTTGCGCAAAAACTTGCCAGCTGTCTACACTGGCCGCTTGAATTTGCGCAAGAGCACTGACTTTGTAATGTACAAAATCAGTGCTTCTTGTGCAAATACTTTCCTGCTCCCGCTCAGGGATAAGCCCTCTTGCTCAAGAATACTTGAGCAAGAGGGCCAGTGTAGACAGGCACCTTAATTTTTTGCACAAGAAAGCCTAATGGCAAAAGCACGTCTAGATTGGCATGGATGCTTTTTCGCAAAAGCACTTTTTGCACAAAAGCATCCGTGCTAGTCTAGACACTCTTGCGGAAATACTTTTAACGGAAAAACTTTTCCTTTAAAAGTATTTCCTCAAAATCGTGCCAGTCTAGACGCAGCTATTATGTTCTGGTGTATTTACTGCTTCTTATCCTGCGGGGACTCTTGGGCCTAGTTCTTGTCCCTCCCTGTCACCATGCTGTCAGTCATATTAGGTGCCTAAGCACTGTCTGATACAGAACTGGATTGCAAGATTTTGCTTTGATATAGAATGTCCTCCCTGGTCATCTTCTTCCTCCTCCTCATCAGGGTGAGGCATTCTGTGGGTTTGGAGGGGATACCATTCCCCACCTTCCACCAGGATTGGACTTATTCACACACACATGGCTGCTGCAGCCTGCACAGGGGCTGGGCAGGCAGGTAGGCTGCTTCAGAAATGAACTGGGCTACTGTCCAGGAGTCATTCAGGTAAGTCTCCTGGCCAGAGCCTGCCTCTGCCTCCAGCCTCCCTCTCCTTCCAACCCTCTGCCCCCCCCCACTCCTGCCTCCTAACCCATATAACCCAAACTCTCTACCCCTTTCTGCATCCATTCCCCCTCCCAGATTTGGCAGCCCAATCTTCTGCCCCAGGTCCCAACTCACTCCTGTCCTAGGTCCCAACCCAAACTCCTGCACCCTAGGTCACAACCCCCTCCTGCCCTAGGTCACATCCCAAACCCCTGCATTCTAGTCTACTGCCCCAGATACAACTACCTTCTTCACCCCAACTCCATCTCAGACTCCTCACTTCCTCCATTAGTATCATGGAAGAGTGCAGCCCTTGACTACTCTCCAAAATCTTGAAATAAAAAATTATTGCCTACCCCTAATTTAGGATATGCTAGCAAACCCTATGAAAATAGCCCCCTTTCTGTTGCTGTGGTAAATGATACTCTATAGCTTTCTGATATTATTACACCAAAGTTTACTTCAACTAGTGTAAGGTGTTATGAGATACGCAAATTAATTGATCAGATTTATAGTAAAGGTATTGGCCAGTGTAGGTGATATAGCAGCTATACCGTTTTGTTTCATTCTAGTTGTGCTTAATACATACTAATATATGCATGGTGTAATTATAAAGCATATATTAGTCAACAATACACATGAACAATTCAAAAGAACTGAAAGTAAATATAGTTAAGCAGATCTGTAAGAGTTTGCAAGACCGAGATTTTAAATGGAGTTCTTTAGAGCAGGATCTCTATTTGTTTATTGTCATGTGTAACAGGGACCTAATCTTTAGTGCAGAAGAGGCAATGTGATTTAGCAGATGGAGCACTGAACTTAGATTCAGAAGGAAGAGGGGTTTATTCCTGGCTTTGCTATGACATTTTGGGGGAGGGGTCTTGGGCAAGTTACATTCTTGTGCCTCAGTCCCCTCGTCTGCTTTTCTTTGCAATGCACTTTCAGAGCTACTCAAAGTGTTAAATAAGAAGTATTATTATTATTTGGGCTTTCTGGGCAATACTGTGATAGATAGATAATTTTTTTCAGTAAAGGAGTCCACTGAGGCAGAGGCATTTCAGCCCTTTACCTTCCTCCATTTGCAGTGGTATGTTAAATAATGGCTATTCTACAAAATGTTGAGCCCATTAGAAAGCTGCCAGATTAGACAGAAATAGCAGATATCATGCATCCCAACTCATCTAGTTTTTAGGCAAACTTCTGACATGGTAAGTTCAGAAAAAAATAGTGGCAATGAATGAAGTAAGTTCTAAATGCATTAAAAATTGCTGTATGTGATATGGAACAAGTTAAAGGTGTAGAGACATACTTTTACAGATGGAATATCATAAGGAAAGAGTATTAAGATTAGTTTTCTTTATAGTTACTGTAGTAACTTTAGTCATTTTATTTGAAAGACTATTCACTATCATGACATCCACTTACTTATTTACAGTTTTATATAGTATAGTACATCATGGTAATCACAGATCTATGCAAAGTCTGTTAAAGACAGGACTCCTTTCCTTTTGTGATTTTAATATAGAACCTATTTTTAAACATCTTTTAACTATTATTCACAAGGTTCTTTAGCAAAAAGGAAATTCAGTTATGCACCTTATTATTATACTAATATAATATAAAGTATAGTAATAGTTGCTTAAATCCATTTTCATTGTTAACACTTTCAGATACAATATATAATTTTAGAGGCATTGTGTGATAATATGCAGAGTTTTGGAGAGCAGAGCAGTAGGATTATTCTAGCAACAGCTTTGCGTTTGCCGAGATGAAAAATGTGTTACAGAAGACAACCACAATTGATTTAGAAGGTTATAGGACCACAAAATATGGAAACTAATGAACCAGACTTAATTTCTAGTTCTCAAGAAAGAAAATGGTAATTTCATAAAAGCAGCAATTATTCTTGAAACTAGTTGCAAAAAAAGGCTGAAATCAACATATTCTGGACTGTTTTAAAAGGATTATTGTATATATGATTGTGACTTCACTATGAACCACTGCTGCTCATCTAGACAGGATCCCACTAGCCTTCATCTAGCTAGCATGAGTATAAATAGCAGTGTAGCAACAGTAGCACAGTTAGCAGCAGCAAAGGCACATCTGAGTCATGCTAAGTACAAATCTGCATGTGCCTCCACTCCTGTTACTAGTGCTGTTGTGGCTACACTGCTAGATGTAGACTGCTACTCTGTGGCTGGACAGATAGAGCCTAAAACACAGGAGGTTACTGTCAGACTGTACTTGACCCTGGTGAGGTCTCAGCTGGAGTGCTGTGTTCAGTTCAGGGCACCACACTTTAGGGAAAATGTGGACAGACTGGAGAGAGTCCAGAAGACAGCAACACAAATAAACTATTTAGAAAACTTGATCTATGTGGAAAGGTTAAAAAAACTGGGCATGTTTAATCTTGAAGTGATCAGTTGTCTTCTGTGTCCAGTAGGACAGGAAGTATTGACTTAATCAGCTGGAAGGAAAATTCAGTTTAACATATTAAGTAAAACTTTCTAATTATAAAGGTAAGATCTGGAATAGGCTTTTAAGAGAGGTAGTGAGATCCCCATCCCTGAAGATTTTTATGGACAGGTTGGACAAACACGTGTCTGGACTGGATTGGAAGACCCTCAAAGTCTTACATCTCATGAAGCAAATATCCTGTTTGGGGCAATAACTTATCTAAAAACAAAAGGTCGAGGACCAAAGTTGAACTAAAGCATAAACAAAGTTAATCAACCTTTCTTATCAGCAAAGGTGACTGAAATACAGGCAGTCCCCGGGTTACGTACAAGATAGGGACTGTAGGTTTGTTCTTAAGTTGAATCTGTATGTAAGTCGGAACTGGCGTCTAGATTCAGACACTGCTGAAACTGACCACCAGTTCTGACTTACATACAGAATCAACTTAAGAACCCCAGGCGTCCCCAAGTCAGCTGCTGCTGAAACTGATCAGCAGCTGATTCCAGGAAGCCCGGGGCAGAGCAACTCTGCCTGGGGCTTCCTGTAGTCAGCGCTGGTCAGTTTCAGCAGAAGCTGACTTGGGGACGCCTGGGGCAGAGCAGCTGGGGTGCTACTGGACCAACCCAGCAGCACCCCATCTGCTCTGCCCCAGAC